TCCATGATTTATTTTTTCCCATACCGTACTCTTGCACTGAGTCTTTGGCATTGAAGAGGAAAGAGATGAATTATTCAACTCTTCTTCTATTGAGTAAAAAGCCAATACAGAAAAAAATGCAACAGGCAATTTCATGATTGACATTTTGGAGAACACTGGGGTCATCATATGACTGAGAAAATGATTATCTCTTTTGAAGGTCAGGAAACCAGTATTTTCTCCAGTGAATCTATGAAGGGAACCAACCACCTAGCTTTTTGTAAATAGCACTCCTTAGGGAAATGTTGCTTTTTTCTTTTGTAGTGTTTCTGCTTTAAATCTTCATAGACTGTATCCCATGGAAGCAGGAATATAATGACTATAGCACTTACTTCTTTTCATGTCTCTACTGAAGAGCCACCCTGATTTATCTTTTCCTCCAAGGTAGTGTGGAACTTTACCAGGATTTAGATTATGTTAGTCATTTTGCTTGGAGATCTCTGTACACTTTTCAACATCGTTTCTAGGAGCCTTGCCACACCCAGTAAAGGAGGGTGAGGCTTCAAGAATCTCTTGGCGTACCAAGGCAAATTAGGCAATTTGTAAGAAGTCCCTAGCAAAGCAGAGTGGAGAAGAGGGCTCAGGATCTCGTGAGGACTGGGGCAGGGAGGTGGACATCCCATGAGCTCCTTTCACAGTCAACACAAAGTTAACATATCTTGGAGGAAAAACTATTACTGTATAATGGAAGGCAGAAGGCAGGAATGTCTGTGCTTGGTGATGAAGCTGGAAGTAGTGAGCTGGTTTATGATGGAGGGATAAATTTTGCCATAAAAGAGACATGCCTCAATTTTATTAGCTAGATTACTTCCCATACAGGGGGTGAGGAGTGAGGATTCTAAGGCATTTCTCTCTGTTTTCAATATATCCTTTCTGGATTCACTATTACTGGGACTTGTGAATATAGACTAGGGATTAAAACCTGAGTTTGCTTTTTAAAAAGTTTTATTTTATTAAATGAGATTTCTGAGCAACTGATTTCACCTAGTCTTATCAAACTATTGTTACTACTTTTTCGATATGCATTCTGTCCCTCCTGTGTGAAGGCCACAGGGCACCTGCCCCCATGTCATTAAGATGGAGGTCCTCAAGTGATGAGGGGATGATTCACCTCTCACTTACCACTTGCGAGAATATCTACCACTGTTACCTCTCCTTATGTCCCGTAGCAGCTGCTACACTCCCACTTTATTATTAGCGACAATTTCTAGTGTTCAAGAGAGAACGGGATTTACTTTTTGAATGCCTCTAGGTTATTATAGCAGGTTCCTTTGGAATTGCATATCAGAACATTCTTCCTATTTATCAGGAAAATAAACCAAGGTCTTGAATGTCTATCCATAGTTGGCCCAATATAATTTTGCTTGGGATTTATTACATTATTTTTCTCCATTGGCTATGAACTGAAGGCATCTCATGGTATATTTATTCAATGGTGAAAAGGTAGTTAGAGGTTGTGTGGTAAAGTCAAGACCAGTATATTGGAAGAAAAGAGACACTCCATCTAATAATCTTTCATAGTCTTCACATTCATTGAGAAGGTTAGTTGATAACCTTTCCTGCACACTGTCTCCCAACCCTGACCCAGGAACTTGCAGAGCACACTGTGCAGCAGATGTAATAACCCTTGTCCGCAAGCAACATGCACAGCTGGGAAAGATAATTAAATAGACTCTTTTTGAGAGGTCTACAACATTTCAACAGAAGGATTGAGCAATCCTGCTGGCCTCCAACTGAAAACTATTACCAACAGACATACTTCAGATTCCATGATCACCATACTTATGTGGCACAAGTGCTTATGAGGAGCTTCTTTGTCTTCCAAAAGGCCACTAAAACTGTCAGACCTAAATAATACTGGAATTGTAAAGTGGGAATTAAAAATTATAATTCCATTTAACATGTAAAGTTGCCATCAGAAAGCGGGCCTTTGGTTTTCCATATGGATTGGTTACATGGTCAACTGCAGTTCTAACTCATGAGACACCCCCAGATCTCATCCCGTGTGATTCTTTTTGAGGTTTATTTAGGATGTTAGATAATCTGGGGCAGGTTTCATCATGGGTGGCAATACTACATATAGCAAATGTCATGAGAAGAGAGAAAAAGCCTCCCTTTTGAATGTTAACATTTCTGCAAGTAAGTTTAGTTCACAGTATAAGTTTACATTACTATTATGAGACTTAAAAGATTGGGGTGAAATCTTAAAGAATTATGAAATTAAGAAATGAAACCCAGAGGGCTTTCATTTTAAGTACTGATGACTTAAACCAAAACTGGTTTGGCTTATCTGATTAGATCGTGGGTTTTGAGAAAGAGGAGCATTTACTGCTGCATCAGGAGATGTTTCCTCGAGAGCAAGGCCAGCTCCTTTTGACCCAGAACATCCCATAGGTAAATCACTGCACACTGTGGAGATACCTATTCCCTCCCTGCCCCAGCCTCCTGGGGATCTGAAACCAAATCATTGCTTTTTCATCTTTTACTTTTTTCTTATGAGCGAAGCCATCCACTTTCTCATGTTTCCTGATGCCAAGTCCTTCTTTACATGAGTGGAATCCACTCTTTTCAATGGAAAGACACCTGCTCTGAGACAGGCTACACCGTCATGAGCGTTGGCATGGCTGAGTGATGTAGTGGAAGGTGCAATAAATTTAAACTTTAAAAAAGCAATATTTGATGGAATCATGCATCTTGTGCCTACAATGAGTATATGCTGTAGCAGGATTTACAGATACATGCATGATTAATTTGAATACAGTGTAGCAAAATGATCTGTTAGAAAACACATGAGAAGAGGTGCAACATTATTAGTCATTAGGAAAATGCACATAAAACCACCATGCCTGAGTGATGCCTCTGTACATCTATTAGAATGTATAAAATCTAAAAAGACTGACCATAACAAGCATTGGTGAGGATGTAGACCAACTCGTGCTTTCATGTATTGCTGGTGAGAATGTAAATGGTACAACTACTTTGAAAACAGTTTGACAGTTTCTTAAAAAGTTAAAACATCCACCTGGCATACTATATCCAGATATCCTACTCTTATGTATTTAATCAAGAGAATAAAAGCATATATACATACAAAAACTTGTATATAAATTGCTTGTAGTAGCTTTATTTGTAATAGCCAAAAGCTAGAAACAACCCAAATGTCCAATGAAAGCATACATTGTATTTATTTATGGGATATATCCATGCAATGGAATACCACTTGGCAATAAAAAGAATCAACCCCTCATCATACGTGCAACCACATGGATAAGTCTTAAACTAATTATGCTGAGTTAAGAAGTCAGACAAAAAGGTAAGAGACTGTTAGGAGCTGAATTAGTGTGTTAAAAGTGGCAATGAAAAAGGAGAAAATTATAGCTACCTCAAGATAGAATTGATGAGCTTTGATTATGAAATGATGGTAAGAGAGGGGGCCATAGACTCTGAGGTCTGTCTCTAGCTTTGGTTTCCCTATGTGGATCATTATCTCTTTGTATATAACAATTATCTGAAAGATGGTACTTAAGCATGTAAGAAACGATAAGCTACCTGTTTAATGCTGAGCTTTTGTTACCTCCAAGAACCCCAAGAAGAAACATCCTGTAAGCAGACCATTCATACTTGATTGTTAAAGGAAAACAAAATTCAATTTTGTCTTTTTTATCAACACAAGTATAGCTAGCTAATAAAAGTGTAATATTCGTGAGAGAAAAAGAAAAGAACACACACACACATACTCAACGGGATTCCTAGAGCCATTCCCATGGATAAGAGGGAAGGAAGGGTTGAGGGCAAAGAGAGAAGGGAGGGAAATAGACTACGATGGGATATCTTAGGGCAAAAGAATAGGGGACTGATTTGGAAGGCAGCAAACTTTATAGATACTTGATTTATTTAATGTCCCTGTCACTGGCATATCTTAGTGTGCATGGTATGTGATTTATTTAGTCACTTGATCCAAATTCTCTAATTAAGTGTAGCTCAGAAGAGATAGTGTCCATTGTGGTCAAGGACACAGGTTTTGGCTTCAACAGACAAATAAGCTCTCTGAGCATCTGTCTTCTCATCTGTACAATGGGAATATCAGTTCCTACCTCTTCAGGTTGTTGCATTCATAAATAATTGTGTATAAGAAACATTAGGATTGCTTCTAAGGGCTCAACAAACTTCCTTCTTCTTCTTCCTCTTCTCCTCCTCCTCCTCCTTCTTCTTCTTCTTCCTCCTCCTCTTCCTCTTCTTCCTTTTCCTTTACTCCTTCCTTCTTCCTTCCTCCTTCTCATTAACATTATTAGGTAACCTCAATACTATCAGTAATGATTGGAAAAAGCTTTAATCTCCTAGTTCACCATTAGAAAACAAGAACACATTTTGGTGGTTATTACCTGAAGTAATCATAGTATCACCTTTTTTTTTTCATCTGACTCATTATCCCAAGTGATTTATTTAAATGTGGAGTTTTCTGACTCTTTCTTTTACATATTACAAAAAATGAGTGTGACTTAGGGACGTAGAAAAGAAATAGAAATTTGGTGACTTTCATTCTGCCTGTGCTCCAATTCCTATTTGGTCTAAGACAAGTAATTTAAATTTCTTGCACCTTAGCATCTTCTACTCAAACAGAAATGAGGAACAGTCACAGAGTGCTATGATAAGTCTAAGTAGAATCCACACAAGTTTTCACACTGAGTATAACTTTATAGAAAGCTAAGTGTGTTACTCAAGTTGGTACATTTATGTAGATGTGACACTATGGCACTAAGAACTTAATGCCACATTGAAACTCACTGAGATAGCTAGATTTTAAAAATAATTACTTGACTTCACTATAAAGTATGTTCGTATTGCATTTACTCTGTCTAGTAGAAAATAGACCTTGTCAGTTCAAATCCCTGTTGCATTAATTTCACCAGTAATGAGTCTTTTTCATTTGAGTCAGCAGGGTTTTTCTTGCTTGTTTTCAGGCTTTGTGGATTTGACCCTCCATGATCAGGTCCACCTTCTAGAATGTGCCTGGCTAGAGATCCTGATGATTGGTCTCGTCTGGCGCTCCATGGAGCACCCAGGGAAGCTCCTGTTTGCTCCTAACTTGCTCTTGGACAGGTAAGTGACCTGGCTGTAGCTTAGGAGAAGCATGTTCTTTATGATCATAGTTCATTCATGAAACTATTTTATTCATCTCTCTGTGAAGCTTCAGAGAACTTTATTATGGGTGCACTGGGGGTGAAGAAGGCTAGTCAAATTCACAGAAAGCTAAGGATAACTTTCTTCTAGACATCACCTCAGAAGAACTCTAATATTTCTAACACATACACACACACACACACACACACACACACTCATTATGAATGGTAATTTTCTAACTCCATCTTCAACTTGTGTCATATAAAAATTATAATAATCTCTCTTTAATTAAAATCTATTTTTGCTTCTTGTACATCCAAACCACAATAGTCTGTTCATTTTCTTCTCCAATTTTCCCATCAGTAAAATGAAAAAATTTGACCAGAGTTCTGAAGGTCACGTCCAGGTTGACAAATTCATTTTCGTTTTCAAATATGTTACCTTCCTTAACATACCATTGTGGGGTTGCCTTGGAATGTGGGTCCCATTGTTTTTTTTTTTTTTTTTTCAGTCATTGCTTAGAGTAATAGAATTTAGATATTACTCAATAGCATCTGCCACTGACAAAGTCTCCACCCTGCACCAGCTGCTATGCTAAACACTTTACATACATCATCTCATTTAATCATCACTGGACTCCCAGGAGACAGGAATGCCATCATCCATGTTTTACCAGAAAGGAAACTAACTCTCAGAGACATCCTGCTACTTGCAAAAAGGAGAAAGCTCGCCAATGGTGGAGACAGAGTTGAAATTCAAGATCTTTCTGGCTCTGGTATGCTCTATTACCTCCTGTCCTGGGCACATGGTCTTCCCACTCTTTCCTGTTCAGTGATGCCTCCTTTGGTCTGCTGCCACAGCATTCTGTTTTCCAGGTAAATCTTGTCTTTGTGGGCTACATAACATTTTGGATGAGAAAGAACCATTTTGTTGTTTCTTGCAATCCTATTTTGCCTCTGTGCCGAGCAGTCTAAGGCTGCCAGGCTGCCCACAGTGCATCTCTGCATGGTCCTTTACTTCAGAGCATTTCACTATATTTCTACACCTGCCAAGCGCCTGGAGCAGAGTTGCAGCAAAATTTGTTTAAGTACTGGAGAATTGTACAAGGTGTTGGTTATTGTTTTGTCATTTTGTGTTAACATAGCTTTTGAAAAACAGTGGTGATACAGTTCAAGAAGCAGATTTTGCTGTCTGTGGAATATATTTTGATATCACAGTTTCACAAAATTATCAAGAATGGCCACTAGTCTTGTTCCTTAGAACTGTACTCACAATGTATTCTGTCAGCCTTCTAGAAGATGTCTTTACCGTGTTCTATCTTTCCATTTCTTGTTTTCCTTTCCATTTTTTCCTATCTCATTTCTCCTGTCTTTTCCTTTGCTTTCCTCTTTCCTTCTTTCTCCTATCCTCTTAGTTTTTTTGTCCTATAGCAGTGTGGTTTTGTAACCAGGTGATATCAAGTTTGCAGATGAAAATCTTAGACCACACATAATATCTCCCTGCCTACTGCCCGGAGTGTGTCTACCATGTTTAGGTTTCTGGACATTCATAACTCATTTGCTCCTTGATTCCCATCCTCATCTGTATCTATCTTCTTTTTTAAAATTTAATTCAATTTTTATAACATTGACACAATTGTGCAGATTCATAGGGTATATAGTGATGTTTTGATGCATATAATATGTGGTGGTCATATCTATCTTCTTAAGTACACACTTGCTTGAGGACAGTCATCAAATAATTGCATTTTGAATATGTAAAGGTTTTTGACATTACTGCACCCAACACACTCATATTCCCAATGAGGTGATATGGCCTAGGATTTTATCAGCTACAGCCTTCTCTTTCCTTTCTCTACACTCTAGTGGTAGCTAATTTTCTTTCCTATCTCTCACAGAAGTATGATTGACTAAAAGTTCTCATCTCTATTCATTCATACTTTCTAAAACTTCAGATTGGAAGTTTTAATTCCCTCTAGACCAGGATTTGTCAATCTCTTTACTATTGACATTTTGGGTCAGATCATTCTTTCATTCTTTCTTGGTTGAGGCATTGATATTGTTTGGCTGTGTTCTCATCCAAATCTCAAATTGTAGCTCCCATAATTTCATGTGTCATGGGAGGGACCTGGTGGGAGGTAACTGAAACATGAGGGAAGGTCTTTCCCTTGCTGTTCTCATGATGGTGAATTTCTCATGATATCTGATGGTTTTATAAAGGGGAGTTCCCCTACACATGCTCTCTCTCTTGCCTGTTGCCATGTAAGATGTGACTTTGCTCCTCCTTCCACCATGATTGTGAGGCCTCCCCAGCCACAAGGAACTGTGAGTCCATTAAACTTTTTTCTTTGTAAATTACCCAGTCTCAGGTATGTCTTTATTAGCAGCTTGAGAACAGACTAATACAAGAGGCTGTATTGTGCATTTTGGGATGTTTAGCAGCATCCCTGGACTTCACCAGCTAGCTGCCAATAGCAACATCCACTTCCTCCAGTTATAATAACCAACGATGTCTAACTATCTTCTAACTATCATTTCTAACTATCTTCTGTTATGTCAGGGGTGGGAGAGGTAAAATTGTCCCTGGTTGAGAATCACCACTCTATGCTTTCCCAACTCAATGTTCTATAGGCTCCTCAGACACACTATAGTCTAAACTGAACACTTTATCTTCTGCAACAAGTCTGTTTGTTTTGTCTTTTCTTTTCTTTTCTGTCTTGGTGACATCAACACTCACCTAGACACTAAAGCTAGAAGCTTTAAGTTACCCATGGATTCTACCTTCTCCCTCACCAAATTATCCAGTTAACTATCTATGAACTGCTTCCAAATCCAGACCTCCCCTCTATCCCCATTCCTCTGCATGGCACAGGTCCTGGTTGTCCCTGCTGCAGATTCCTTGCTTCTGTGCCACGGACTCACTTTCTTGGTCCTGCTACTCCTTCTTTCCGTCCATTTCCCATAGTGCTGCTGGAGAAGGCACAGCTTTCTAAGGCACAGCTGTGATCATGATACTTCCTGACTCACCTTTCAGTGGCTCAATTCTTAACACAGAGAAACCCCGTCTCTACTAAAAATACAAAATTAGCCGGTCATGGTGGTGCATGCCTGTAATTCCAGCTGCTTGAGAGGCTGAGGCAGGAGAATCACTTGAACCTGGGAGGCGGAGGTTGTGGTGAGCTGAAATTGTGCCATTGCCCTCCAGCCTGGATGAAACTCCATCTCAAAAAAAAAAAAAAAAAAAAGAAAAAAAGAAAATACTGTCTGTGTAGACTTCTTATCCTAATAATCATGAATCTCTATAACAAGTGTCTCAAACACAAATTTCTGAAGAGTTATAGGTGACCCAGTGAGCTCTTGTCCAGGCTAAAAAACACCTGGTGGCTGAATTCAGAACTTCACACATTTGAATTTCTCTTCCATTGCTTCCTAGAGACCCTCCACCATTGCGGTTCCTTATCAGAATCATATCTACCTATAAGGCTCATTTCACGTGCCGTCTTTTTATAAAATCTTCCTTCAAACTTTCTCCTCTTCAGCCTTTATATATAAAAGGCTTTTCTTTCTTTTCCAAGTTCCTATTGTAGTTGGTTTTCTTTTCTCTTTATTATTTTCATTCCACCATATTAGTTATGATTGGATGTCTTATCTTCCCTACTAGCTCATAAACTTCTTGTGGTCAAAAACCAGATCTTGCTCATCTTATGTGATCTCCAGTTTACAAAGTCTTGCACGATACCCAACGAATGTTTGTTAATTGCACAGGTCAAGGTCACCCAGGTGGCTTGTGGTCAAATCAAAATAATCTACATCTTCTGATAGTCATGGCAGCTGTTACTTCCATCCAACTCACTTCTTGTGCATTGCTACTCATCAATTTCTGGCTTATTCCTTTAAAAACATTGCAGAAATACATATCTATGTGTTTTGGAAAGATTTTCTTAATCTATAAGTGCATTTGGCATGTGCTTATATGTCTGCTTATATGCCACCGACTTGTTATGCAACTTTGAAATGGGGAAAAGCAAAGACTCTTATCTTTACCATAACCAAACCCTTTATGAAGCAAAATCCTTAAGGTCTCACTACAGGTTAGAATAATTAGATGATATGATTTGGTTGTGTTCCTACCCAAATCTCACCTTGAATTGTAATAATCCCCAGGTGTCAAGGGTGGGGCCAGGTGGAGATAATTAAATCATGTTTTCCCCATACCATTAGTGTGGTAGTGAATAAGTTTCATGAGATCTGATGGTTTTATAAATGGGAGTCCCCCTGCACAAGCTCTTTTGCCTGCCGCCATGTAAGATGTGACTTTGCTCCTCCTTGCCTTCTGCCATGATTATGAGGCCTCCCCAGCCATGTGAAACTCTGAGTCAATTAAACCTCTTTCTTTTATATATTACCCAGTCTCAAGTATGGCTTTATTAGCAGCATGAGAACAAACTAATACGTTAGGTATATGTTAATGATAAGGAATGTGTATAAATACATATACATTTATATTTAAATATAATTGATATTTACAAATAACATAAGATATTAAAATATGATCTATAATTTTAAAAATTATCTACTTTTCTAATCATTAATATGCACTAAATATTATTAAATTTCAATATTATTTAATTACCATCTTGGTGTTTGAGGATAGCCACTTTTGATGGCATTGATAGATGCATTAACAGTAAAACATTGTGACCAACAGCCCATCTGAGATTTTATACATGTAGAAGATAGCTTCTGAGTGACAGCTGAAAACACTATTTATGTCTTTGCCCTACAGGTTCCTAACCCCTTTAATAAAATAGAGCTCTCTGATGCACATGACACATGGGTCTTCCTTTTGCTCTTGTCCCATCACATTGTACATAGTAAACATTTTAGTAACAAATGGTAGATACTTGTAACTTTCAAAGCTAAGTGATTGACAGCTGAGAGGCAGATGATGGTAATTTCATCATTTTTCTCATATCTCAG